AACGGATGAAATTTTCTACACCTATAAATACCCACCTTCATCAAATTAGAAGGTGCTGGTTCTTTTCACTCGATCATTACTCTCAAGCAAAAGCTCTTGTATAAGCTAACTCTCTTACCAAGTTTTTGCGAACCAGTTTTCAAGGCATGAAGATTTCTTAAAGAAACTCATCAATCTTCATCTTCCACCTTGAAGAAGTCTTGCATCTTATACGAAGCAGTCATCCCTCTTCAGTCAAGACTTCACCGTGTTAGAGAGATCAAAAAATACTTTCTACCAACCTCAACTCTAAAGAAGACGTTGATAGAGGCGGAGTAAACTCGCGGAGTTGAAAAACCTACAGGAAGTTGTCCGGCTTAGTGATCAAGGAAGCTTTCGTATGTATTTGTACTAACGAGTGATAGTGCAAACCTTCCATAAGTTGTGGAAGAAGAGTGGAGTAGGCAAAGTTGACCGAACCACTATAAAAACTCTCCTCTCTCTATCTTTTTACTTTCATGTTTTACTTTTCTGCATTGCATTATCATTCGTCTAAATCGAAATTTATCTTAAAACCTCAAACTATGCAAAGCAACTAAAACCAACTTAACTTATCCGCTGCTACAACCCCGAAAGGTTGCTATCTGCCAAAAATTGAGAAGAGTCTATTCAACCCCCCCCCCCCTCTAGACTCTCGTTCTAACACTACCAGGACCAACAAGTGGTATCAGAGCCAATACCTTGATCGGTAAAGGCTTTGCATTTACTGCCTGGTAGATCCCTTATCAAAAGTTTTCTGAAAAGTTGCATATTTTCAGCTTTGCACATTTTTCGTAAAAATGGAAAAAGATCATGCTCACCATACGAAGAAGCTTGCCTTTAACCTCTCCAAGTTTGATAACTGGAAAATCAGGATGCAGGCTCTTCTCTCAGCAATACATGACGAAATGTGGGATGTAATAACCACAGGACCAATAACCATCATGATGGCGAATACACAAGCTGCAGCACAAGGAGCAGGTGCTGATCAGATGATACCAAAGCCGAAGTGTCAACTCACCTCGGAGGAAAGAACAAGAGCGAACCTGGATAATGTAGCACGAAACATTCTCTACAACTCTCTCGACGACTCCTTGTTCCCTAGAGTCCGAAAATGAAAAAACGCTATGGAGATCTGGAATGTTCTAATGAACCTGGGTGAAGGAGACAAATAGGAGAATGACAACAAATTGACAGTGGCCATGAAGAAGTTCGAGGACTTCAAGATGTTGCCGAATGAAGCTGTCACAGACATGGAACTGAGGTTCGCCAGGCTAATGGGTGATCTGTCTGATCTCAGGAAGGAATTGTCCGAAAAGGAAAAAAACCTGAAGATCCTTCGTGGCCTACCGAAGTCTTGGAAGATGAAGGTCACAGCAATGAGAGATCACCGAGACATGAAGACCACAAGCACAACCAAGATCTTTAGTGATCTTAAGGCTTACGAGTTTGAGCATGAACCAAAGGATGCTGATGAACCCGAAACAAGAAATGTAGCTCTTTTGGCCAACCAACAAGCATCAACATCAAACATGTCAAAGTCTAACTCTTGTGAATTTCTATCTGATGAACAATATGCTCTATTTGTTAGGAAAATGAAGAGGTTTATGAGGAAGAACAACTTCCAAGATTTTCAACGATCGGGACACCGAAGAAAACACGAGAGCTCACCTCAAACCTCAAAGCAAGAGACATCAGACTCGCAACTGCTATGCTACAATTGTCGGAAGCCAGGACATTTCAAGGCAAACTGTCCGCATCTAATTGTGAATAAGCACCAAGACGGCAATGCTATCAAAAGCTCATCCAAAGAAACAAGAGAAAGCTACAAGAGAAATGACAAGCCAGAATCATCGAACTCCAGAAACGAAAGAAGAAGGAAAGCTATGGTAGTGAAAGAAACATCTGACACTATCAAAGCCGAAAGCAGTTCCTCAAGTTCAAGTTCGGATGATGATAGTACTGAAGAAGAGAAAAGACTGCTATGTCTATTTAGCCAAGAGTCAGATGAACTATGCCTTATGGCCGATGATGATGAGGTAACTTCACAATCATCCTCTTGTTATTTAGCAGAGTCTAGTTTTATGAGAAGTCAAGCTTCCAATGAATCAGTTACCGAAATGATGAGGGAGTTCAAGATAATAAAAAACACATACTCTAAATTAAAAGAGGACAACTCTCGGCTTATGATCAGCTACAATGCGCTGAGGCAAGTTCGAATTAAGAACATAAAGCTAGCCATTGCTAAAGATCAACTTGAGAATCATGTTCTCTCTCTAAAAGAAAGAGAAAAGAGGGAGCAACAATTACGTGAAACCTTGAATTCATTCAACAATTCGTCCAATCTAATGGACCGAATGGTGAACGGATCAAGATTGACCGGGGAAAGAACGGGAATTGGTTTTGACCCCAGCTCCTCTTCACAAACCAGCTTGAACAAATCCACCAATGCTTACTCTCGGGAGAGTTTTCAATCAGCATTTGTTCAAGGCCCTACCCAGATGTCTGAGCCTATGACGAAAGATAACAGTATCGCTACGCCACAATCAACAAGTCAACCGAAAGGAAAGGCTGCACAACGAATTGTGGAACCTAGAATTGAAAAATCCTTCAAAGGCAATACTAGACATAGATATGTCAAAAGGAATGGACCAAATGGCAATGGACAAAATCTACACCATAAAAAGGGTCAGCCTTATAAAGATATTCAATCTAGGAAAATGTCGAATGTTAATCAGAGGCAATATCGTCCAAAATCTAAACAGAATAATCCTATTAAAGGAATCCCGAGAAATGGACAAATCAGACAAAACGAAAGATCTTTCAAAAGATCTGGATATGGCAATGGATGGACTGGGCCATCAGAGGAAGATTGGTTTGTTTACCCAGAACCTCTATCAAGAGAACAATTTGAAAAAATACATCTGCGTAAACAAACTAATTATTTCAAGCAGTATCATAATCCTCCTGCAGAATATTTTCGAGAGAGATACAATGCTAAAACCTTTGCCAAGATCAGCTATGATTATCGTACATCTAATGGATATAGAGGACCAAGGATGAGTCAAGGAAACTCTAGGTTCATGTGGATCCCAAAGTTGACATCTAACCCTCAAGGACCCGTAACTCAAGGGGTACCTAAAAATGTATAACCTTTCTTGTAGGATAAACAAGTCATATGGTATGTTGATAGTGGATGCTCAAGACACATGACTGGTGACAAAGAAATGTTGAGCAACTTTAAAGAAGTTGACGGACCTAAAGTCATCTTTGGAGGCGAAACGAGTGCCAAAACTCGTGGAACAGGAGACATTATCAAAAAGGGAATAACTATCCAAGATGTATCGTACGTCGAAGGGTTAAAATTCAATCTTCTAAGCACAAGTCAATTTTGTGATAAAGGCTACAAAGTCGAATTCTCAAAAGACAAATGCAGTATAATCAGCACGAGAGATGGTGAAACTGTTATAACAGGTCAGCGAAAGAAAAACATGTATGTAGTCTCCTGGAATTCATCTAACACTAACGTTTGTCTTGTTGCTAAGAATAATGCAGATTTAAGCCAAGAATGGCACAACAAGTTGAGTTATCTAAATCTAAAGACAATTAACAAGCTTGCCAAGAAAGATCTCGTGAAAGGCTTACCGAAAGCACCTTATGTGAAAGACAAGATATGTGAAGCATGTCAAAAAGGGAAACAAATCAAATCACCCTTCAAATCCAAAGACATGGATGCAAACTCTCGACCTTTAAATCTTCTGCATATGGATCTCTTCGGACCAATTGATCCAGCAAGTCTAAGTGGGAGAAAGTATACTCTCGTTGTAGTAGATGATCACACGAGATATACTTGGGTAATCTTCTTGAAGAAAAAGAATGAAACAGAGATTGTTTTACCAAATCTCTTGAGACAGCTTCAAACAGAAAAGGAAGTCAAGATTATCCGAATAAGATCAGATTAAGGGACTGAATTCGTCAACAAAGTTATCAAAGAATTCTGTGGACAAAACGGAATTTTTCATCAACTATCGGCAGCACGAACTCCTCAACAAAACGGAGTAGCCAAAAAAAAGAAACAAAACTTTGAAAGAAGCCGCACGAACAATGATTGCACATTCGGGTTTACCAAAGCGATTTTGGGCTGAAGCTGTAAACACAGAATGCTACACACAGAATCGATCCTTGATCAACAAGTCACACAATAAAACCCCATACGAACTATGGAAAGGTAAGACACCTAGTATTGGCTATTTTCATATCTTTGGTTGCAGATGTTTTATTCACAACAATGGGAAAAATCATCTGAAAGCTTTCAACGAAAGAGCTGACGAAGGATTGTTCATGGGTTACTCCTCAGTAAGTAAGGCCTTCAGAATTCTAAACAAAAGAACAATGGTCATCGAGGAATCCATACATGTCAAGTTCGATGAGCAATCTGAGAAAAGTCCTATTGGCATTAAAACATCTATCAATCCGAATCAAAGCTCTCAAGAACCAAATGAAGAAGAAAATTCAGATGATGAAGATATTCTATCCTCCTACACGAGATATCAGTTGAAGCCCCCTGAACCCGAAGTTTTAGCTCAAGAAGGTGATGGCTTGCAACAAAATGTTCTTGATATTCAAACACCATCCGAACCTATGATCTATGTTGAGCTGCCTTATATTCCTGAAATGGATGTACAGAATCAGCAAAGTTCGTTTGAACCCGATCTTAGATGGTTAAGAGACCATCCTCCTGATCAAGTCATAGGAAATATCCAAGAAGGAGTAAGAACTCGGGCTAACGTTCATGAGAATATGATGGCATGCTTCCTATCTCAAATAGAACCAAAATCTATAAAAGAAGCTCTATGTGATCCTGACTGGGTGAGGGCATGTAGGAAGAACTTCACCAATTCGAAAGGAACAAAGTCTGGGAATTGGTTGACAGACCCACCCATCAAAATGTTATCGGTACGAAGTGGGTATTCAGAAACAAGATGAGTGAAGACGGCTTAATTTTTAGGAACAAAGCTCGTCTCGTTGCTAAAGGCTACTGCCAAGAAGAAGGTATTGATTTTGATGAAACCTTCGCTCATGTGGCAAGGTTTGAAGCAATAAGAATATTTCTAGCCTACGCAGCACACAAGAATTTCAAAGTATATCAAATGGATGTGAAAAGTGCTTTCCTGAATGGTCTTTTGGAAAAAGAAGTATATATTGAACAACTACCAGGTTTCGCTATCGAGTGTGAGAATAAAAAGGTATATCATCTACAGAAAGCTCTATATGGCCTTAAACAAGCTCCAAGGGTAAGGTATGACACTCTATCTTTCTTTCTCTTAAATTGTGGTTTCACGAAAGGAGCCGTAGATAAGACGCTCTTTCGTATCAAAAATAATGATCACATCCTCTTGGTACAAATCTATGTTGATGACATCATTTTCGGGAGCACGAATCCTACTTTATGTGAAAAATTCTCAAATCTCATGCAAGGCAAATTTGAAATGAGCATGATGGGAGAATAAACTACTTTCTGGGATTGCAAGTGAAGCAATGCTCAGATCACTACAAGAAAAATCACAAATCGCAACGGAAAAATCGCGACAAAGCATAATCTGTTGTCAATTCGCGATGGTTTTTGCGACGGAACATGTTTCGTCACGATTTTGCGTCGGAAATGGTGATAGAATTCATTTCTGTAGCGATTTTTGGCGCAAAGTGAGAAAAAAACGTGGGAAACTTTGGCGCCAACATTCTTGTGACGGATTTTGTGAGAGAATTATGTTCTGTCACCACAATGGCGACGGAAAAGGCAACAGTCGTTGATTCCGTTGCGGTTTTGCGACAGAATCGGCGACGAGAATAGATTCCGTTGTGATATTTGGCGCAAAGTGAAAAATATTCCCCCGCAATCTTTGCACCAAGGAATTGACGACGGAGGCTAACGACGGAAATTGCGACGGGTATTTTTTCTGTCGCGAAAATATTTTATTTTTGAAATATAGTTTATTTTTACTACAGAATGAACAACAAAACCAATTCCGTCTCCAATATGTTAACATATTGGCGATAGAAAATGCGACGCCCTACATGTGTGTCGCGCTATGACGACGGAATCAATAATGAAAATTAATTATGCTGCGATGTTTAGTGCGAAGATAAATTACGTTTGAGGTTGGCGATGGAACTTGCGACGATTGCTCTTTCCGTCACTAAAATATTTAACTTTTTACTAACTTTTAAAAGGTAAAAATTAAAAATTAAAAATGAAACCCAATTCCTAATTCATAAAACCTATTTTAGGATATATATATATATATATATATATATATATATATATATATATATATATATATATATATATATATATATATATATATATATAATATTGTAATTTAAAAAACTAAACCCTTTAAAAATTGAAAATTATAATTATTTTTTAAAAACTAATAGTTTAACAATTAAAAATTAAAAATCAAACCCAATTCCTAATTCGTCAAATCTATATTAGGATATATATAATGTTGTAATCTAAAAAACTAACCCTTTAACAATTAATTAAAACTACTAATAAAAACAAAATTTTACATTTACAACTTCCCTCCTAAACTACCTCCTAAACTATTACTATATAAAATATAATAAGTTTTATGGTAATTAAATTAATAATTACACGAATATTAGTGCAATTGATTAATAATTATTATAGTAATTAAACTAATAATTACCTTAATAATAATAATAATAATATAATTACATTTAAAAATAAGATGTTGGATTTTTAAATAATTATTACAATTAATTTTTTGATTATATAAATATATATATATATATATATATATATATATATATATATATATATATAGAGAGAGAGAGAGAGAGAGAGAGAGTAATACTATGAGAATAAAATAAATTATCATTCATATTTTTTCGTGTAAATGCTATATGGTAATTTGTATTTATATATATTTTTTATACTAAATGTATAAAAATATAATTAAACAATATTAGTACAATTACTTAATAATTATTATAATAATTAAGAAATTAATAGCACAGATATTAGTATAATTGACTAACAATATTATATTAATTAAGCTAATAATTAATGAATATTAGCATATTTACAATTAAACATTAGCCGTTGAATTTTCTTTATAATTACAATTAAGGTATAAATTATCATTCTTATCATTCTTAAGGTATAATAATATGAGAAAAAAAATAAATTATCATTCTTATTCTTTCATGTAATTACTATGGTAAATTTATGCTAATACATCTATATATATTTTTTTATTTAAGGTATAATAGTATAACTGCATAATAGTAGTATATTTACCTAATAATTATTTTGTTAATTAAGGAATTAATTATATAGATATTAGTATAATTGAGTAATAATATTTATGATAATTAAATTAATAATTCCCATAATAATAGTATAATTATAATTAAGCATAAGTCGTTGAATTTTTTTTATAATTATTACAATTAACTTTTTGATTATATATATATATATATATATATATATATATATATATATATATATATATATATATATATATATATATTACTGAAGGTATAAAATTATAATTTGCACAATTTTAGTATAATTATCTAATTTAATAATTATTATGATAATTAAGAAATTAATTTCACAAATATTAGTATAATAGACTAATAATTATTATGTTAATTAAGCTAATAATTACGTAAATATTAGTATAATTATAATTAAACATGAGTCGTTTGATTTTTTAATGATAATTACAATTAATTTATTCAGATATGGAGGATTGAGAAAAAAGTAAAGGCTATATGCTGAATAGAAATATACTTAATGTGTGAAAGTATAATTGTACAGATATTAATATAATTGTCAAGTAATAATTGTCTAATAATAATTATGTTAATTAAGCTAACCATGGGTCGGATTTATTTCTATAATAATTACAATTAAATCATTTTTTTTTTATATCTAGGCCCTGTTTGGTAAATGACTGTTAGCTGATACTCCCTCCGTCCTATTTTACCTGTCTTACTTTCCTTTTTAGTTTGTCCCAAAATAGTGTCATCTTTCTAAAATTGAACATAACTATCACTCTACATTTCCCAATTTACCTTTTTTACTTTTCAAATTTATAGAGGTAAGTACAATTGTACTTTGTACAAACAACACCTACTTTTTAAGGACAAAATTGAAAAGTTAGTAACAAAACCGTGCAAAAAGCTAGTTAATTAAAAGATATAACTAATTGATAACATTAGCTAATTGTAGAAAGATGTTTGGTAAATTAGCTGATATCTAAGAGTTGTTTGATATAATTTCTTTTATCAAAAAGCTAATTAAAAAAGTTGTTTTGAGTAACTTTTTGAATTTTAGCATTTTGGAGTACAAAAAGCTAATTAACTAAATACTTATATTGATTTTTAAATCAAGTCAACAACTAATAGCGGTCAAATAAAACAAAATTAACCAGCTAATTATTTTACCAAACAAGGCCCTAATATTTGAATACTAAAAGTACATTATATTTTATATAATATATATTCAATACACAAATAATATAATTTTAATTTAATAAAAATATATTTTATTTTATGATCCATATAACACTACGTAGGCTATACAATAATTTGCCCTAATCCCTAAGGACTAATGTCCTAAATCCTATTTTCTAAAGAAGTCGAAGTTGCTGCTCCTCCAATCTACGATGTCGCCGCTCCTCCAACAGTACACACCGACGACAGTTCTGTGGTCGACGACGTCGCCGATCCTCCAAAGCCGACGCCGACACCTTGCGAATCGGCAGTCGATGATGAAGCCAAGCCCTCCCCTGTGATTCTGCGACGTATTATCGTCCCCTGCCGGCAACGAAGCAAGCAGAAGCCAAGACCGCCGCCGCCTCCTGTCCTCTCTTGCCGACGACGAAACAAGCATAATTAGGTATTTCTTTGATCCAAATCTTTGGTATTCCTAATTTCATAATTTGCAAACAACTTATGCCCTATTGGTCAGTTAGTTGTATTGAAATTTTCTTAAAAAATGCTTTGCAGGATGATCACACGAGTTATGTATCTTCCTGCATTTATTGGGCTAGCCATCTCTAGTGCAAGTGATTGGGTATGAATTTTGTTTCTCTTGCTTTTCTTACTTAAATTTAAGTCCCTTCCTAAGGTTCTATTTCCCACTGCAGCTTGATGGGCATGTGGCCAGGAAGATTATGATAAATTCTTTGGTTGGTTCCTACCTTGATCCACGGGCACGTGGCCAGGAAGATTATGATAAGTTCTTTTGTTGGTTCCTACCTTGATCCACTTGCTGAGTACTGAGAAGGTAATAATTGAATTCCTTGTATCAGTTATTTCCACTCTATGAATTTGGCTCATCAATTAACCTATACTTCTGTATGAAACTCCTATACTATATTTCTTTGTTTTTATTTTATTCTAATGTTTCAGTGATGCAGTAGAGAAAGTTGTAAGAGTAGCAATGCATGATGTTTGTCATCTTTTTAAGCTTAATAGTTATAAGTGTGGAATAAATTATATTATAATAGTTCATTGATGCTCAATATCTTCTATTTCTTTGTAACTTGTACTTTAAACCTTTAGGTGCTCAATTTATACTTGCGCATCCTGCAATCCTAATAATATTTGCAGTTTGAATCTTCAGGAGCTTGATGAGTAAAATGCACTATGATTTATTACCCAAACTTTTGTAAGAGCAAGTGCAACGGGAGGTATTAACACATAATGGAGAGGAAGTAGATGAGAGTCAATCGTACTATGATGCGGTTGGCGGGCATGATAAGAAAAGAAGAGTTTATGGACTTGACTCATATGGTAGCTTCCTTCGTGGTCCAATAAATGCTAATACATATATAACATCAACATCGCGGTCATTAGACAATGTTAATTCTGCAAATATACAAGACGAGATTGAGAATTTGAAGGCTTCTATACTTCTTATGCATCAAAGATTAGATGCTCTTGAGAGTAAGAGGGCTTGTACTTCATCATCACCTTTATCACAACTGGATTAAACTTGATATTGTTTTTTTTTTCTTTATGAATTATTATGTTGTTGTTAAGACATAGATTTGGTATTAAGTACAACATTCAATTTTTTGAACTATAAAGTAGTATTACTTTTATATTACAAGTTATATTAAGATTTTAGTTTTAATATTGTTTTTATTTATAAATACAATTGTATATTAAGATTTTACATACAAACGCTAGAATTTTAACAAACTTTGCGACGGAATATAAGTGATGGAGTTGCGATGGAGATTTGTTCCGTCATTTTATTACGATGGAATGTTGAGATGGAATACGGAATTTGCAACGGAAATGTTAGCGACGGAATCACGACGATAATTATTTTCGTCGTTATATTTCACGACTACAATATGCAACGGAAGATTGAGTTTCGCGATGGAATATTTTTTCATACGATGGCGATGGAAGGAAACATTTCTGTTGCCAAAATCGTAACGGACTCGCGACGGAATGATTTTCGTCGCCAACTTCGCGACGGAAAATTCCGTTGCTTTTTTTCGTCGCCACTGCTCGCGACGGATTATTTCCGTTGCAAAATGAAATACGACAAGCCTAGAGACTACGGAATGAATTCCGTCACAAAAATGTAAATTTCTGTCGCAAAACGTGATTTGCGACGGAATTTCGCGTTTTCGCAACGGAAAAATTCCGTCGCGAATCGCGATTTTTCTTGTAGTGGATGGAATCTTTATAAACCAAGCCAAGTACACGAAAGACTTAATCCGAAAGTTTGGCATTGATGGAAAAACTTCTGTCAAGATTCCTATGAGCACATCTCTTAGAATGGACATTGATAACGAAGGAAAAGATGTGGATCAAAAGAACTTTCGTGGTATTATTGGATCCCTTCTATATCTAACAGCAAGCAGACCTGACATTTCGTTTGCTGTTGGGGTATGTGCTAGATTTCAATCTAAACCGAAAGAAAGTCATCTGAGTGCAACCAAAAAGATCTTAAGATACCTTAAAGGGACACAAAGCGTTGGACTTTGGTACCCGAAAGAAGGATCATTCGAACTTGTTGGGTATTCAGATGCTGATTTTGCTGGATGTCTAATTGATCATAAAAGCACCTCGGGAACCTGCCAGTTCCTAGGGGGAAGGCTTGTTTCTTGGTTTAGTAAAAAGCAACATTCTATTGCTACCAGCACGGCTGAAGCCGAATATATATAGCAGCTGGGAGTTGTTGTGCTCAAATTCTCTGGATGACTCATCAGTTAAAAGATTATGGCATCAATGCATGAGAAGTAAGCATTAAATGCGATAATACAAGTGCCATTGCCATTACACACAATTCTGTTCTACACTCACGAACCAAGCATATTGATATCAAATATCATTTCGTTCGTGATCATGTTGAAAGAAAAAATATATCTCTTGAATATGTTAACACTGATGATCAGCTTGCAGATATTCTTACGAAACCTTTAAGTGAAGCAAGATTCTCTCTCCTGAGACATGAAATCGGGATGATTGAAATGGCATGAAGATTGGGAATCAAATCTGCAAAGATTCTCACAATATTCCAATAAAATCTCCTCGATATATACATCATGAAGATTTTGACCACCCTTACACGCAAAGTCCCTATAAAAAGGGAAAACCTCTCGTCACCAAATCCACACTAACCTACCTTTTGAATAGAAATCTAGTTCTTGTTTCTGATTGTGCAGGTATGGCAAACAACAAAGGAAAGGAGAAAACAGTCAAACTGGAAAAGCAGGATGATCCAGATATGCTATGCAATGCAAGGATTGTAACCATAAAACATGAAGCTGAAGGTTTCCACATCTCTTTCAACCCGAAATAAAGAGAAAACCGAGACTACCCTAGTGAAGATCTGGACGAAATCTCTCAAGCTAGGGGGAAGTTCTATCTAAAAGAAGCCGAAAAACATGCGAAGGAACGCATCATGCGTCTATCTCGGAAAGGAAGCAATGATCCAGCTTCCTGTGTGGACCATGCTGAACTTCAAATCATGAAGTCTCGTGTTGATCTCTCGGTCAAACCTACTCTCCTCACATGTGAGTTGGCTGAGTATTCACTCGGGGAGATCGTCAAACGCAAGGAGAAATTGGACTAATTCAAGAATCTACTTGTTTCGTGACTTTATTATTAGTCTATTTCAGAGAAAATAATGATGATTATTCTTTGTCACGAAACTGTATCAGCCTGTTGTCTATGCGTTTGGGAATCTAAGTTTTCTAAATATCTATGATCTTGGAATCATCATTGTCTTTGAAAATATCAATTCAAAGTCTTCTACGAAATTAATGGTCAGTTGAAGAAATTGATGGCCATTAATTACAGCATTCAATGCGTCATGGATTTTTGCTTTAACATCTCTATGCTTCGTGGCTATAAAAGGAGAACCTATTCTTCTCTAATCTATTATCTCCTATCTCAAAATGTATCCTAAAAAGCCTTTCGCCAGAGGAGACTCACAAAAGAGAAAGGAAATGGTTCGAAAAATCAGGGAAGAGCAAGGTGATCTCTACCTTGGGAATAGCCTCATAGCTCCGCTGGAAATCTCCTCTGACAGTGAATCCTCTCATCTCTATGATGAAATGGCTGGTTACATAGTCAAAGAACCGGAAGAAACCCCTCAAAAGGAGGAAATCCCCACAGAGGTGCCTAACAAGCATATTGACAAAGACTATCTCAAATATCTGAACGAAAAACCCAAGTCTGAAGAAAACTCTGACGAAGATGGACCTGTTTCGTCATCAGATTCAAACTTTTTGAGAACCGAAAAGTGGTACAAGAAAATGTGGGGAGAGCTTATGAAGCCAAAAGTTGAGCCAAGCGAGCAAAAGGAAGAAGGAAGGAAGAAAATTTGATCTATTTACTATGTATTTCCTATCCTGTACTAATATTCCTTTCGGAATAATAATATCATCTTTGTTTAAATGGTTCTTATCCGAGTTTATATTAGTGCTGAACGAAACTTTATTTGTTTTGTTTGCATTCACAAATCTCGTCTCCAAACGAATATCTCTAACCGAGCTTTATTCTCTTGGAAATGATTATATTCCCTCTACTCTCGATGAAGCGTGAAAATTATCTCAGTGACTGGTCTTTCATGGCTACACCTTTTGATGAATCCATCTCCTATAAAAAGGGATCTCTCGTGCAAAATAGAAGTCACTCTCCCATAATCCATCAAGTTCGGAGTTCTACCTATCGTTATGGACAAAGGGAAGAAAATGTGCTTTCCAACCAAGGATCTGACAAAGAAAGTTCCCTTTGAGATTAATCCATCTCATGAACTCAACAATTCTCCAAAAGAATGATCATCCTCTGGTGAAGGATTTGCCAAAGTCTCGAGCCCCTCTCATTTTTACACTCTTGTGGAACTAGCACCTCAACTCAAAATTGGGGAGAAATACACAGCAATGTACGCTGCAGCTCAAGCAAGAGTCAAGGCTGAAATGGATGCCATGGAAAAGAGAGGACTCTCCAGAGATGCTATGGGAACTGATCACGAAAAGATCGTGGATGAAATGTTCACTCTCAAGATCATCAAGAAGGAACATGCTGAGAATGCTCGAAAGATGAAGGAAGACAGAGAGTAAAAGCTCAAATAGCCTGGATCACGAGAGATGCAATCAAGTTTTTAATATCTCTATGTTTCGTGTAATAATCATCTCTTGGGCTTTATCATGTGGTTTTGTTATATGTCCTGTTTAAGTTCACGAAACTTTATTTGTTTCTTGAACTCGTTTCTTCATGATAAGTAAAATGTGTTATGTTTCGGTTGTGAGGCGTGCTCAAGAAGATACTCCTTATCTAGATCATCTGAACCGTTGATACATATTTTAAGTGGACATCGTGTGGCCGAGAAAACCGGTCCACTACCCCATGATCTCTGTTAGTTGATCTGACCTGCATTTAATGCACCTAAAGGCACTCAAGTGGTTTTCTCTCTCCTCTTTAATGAAGAATGATCAAAATTGATCTGCAATTGATCTTATCAGATCTTTATCACCAGATCAGTTACCCCTTTAGTGGAATTGGAACCGATTGAATTTCGAAATTCAAATCATCCACAATTCACATGGGTCACCCGGTTTTCCCTATACCCTAGACTCACATCAACCCTACATAAACCCGCCTTCTACCATCTTTCATCTTTTTCCTTCATCCTCACCCTCAAATCCATCCTATCACCAAAACTCTCTCAAACTTCTCTCCAATGGCTAAGAAATCCAAAACCACACCCTCTGATGTCGAACCTGAAGCACCATCTACAATGGAGATACCCACCTTCCCAACAGACGACGTCAACTTCATTGAGTCACGGACTGACTTCATCGCTGGTGGCAGTATGTGGGATGCACATGATTTCTTAGAATATGTCATCGATCGAAGCTTTGGTGATAAAGTAATCGCCCTACTACAAGAAACCGGTTTGTACAGGTTTGCAGTTCATCTCTATACATTTTGGTTTCCCACAAATGTTGCTCAGTTTTATCTGAATGCAAGTGTATCCCCGGATGGACTCACCATATCTTCGAGAGTCAACCAAACTGATGTGACAATCACATCGGAGGATATTCGAGCAGCCTACGAATTTCCTCATCGAGATGAGTCATACAAGCCGAACTTTGCTTTCTACCATTATGATCAAAATGACTTCTATAGATTTATCAAGAACAAGCAGGCTCCCAGTGTAATCTCGTGGCCCTTAAAGAAAAAATGGTTCCGCTTGGACTACGAGTTCACAGTGGATATCTTTAACAAGATTGTAGAGCACAAGACGTAGGGCACAGACGACGTGACAAAGGACAAGTTAAAAATGCTGCACGCATTTCTCAATGAACACAAAGTCGATTGGTCAAAAGTCATCTTCAACAATCTCATCCATGTTATCACATTTGGTAGAACATCTCCTGGAGATATATCAAAGAAGATGGGGTTTGGATTTTTGGTAAGTCATCTCCTTACCACGAAAAATGTCCCCCTCAGAGCAGGAGTTAGGCCTGGACCGAAGGCGTGCCACATGAAGTATAAGCCCACGAGTTATGACAAGCAGAAAGCATTGGAGTTGGAGATACCACTGGAATTGGTCAAATCTGAATGAAAGTCTAAGAAGGCGAAAGATTTAGACGATGACCAACCAAAGCCTAAAAGACGAAAGAAAGAGAAGACTTCGTCTCATATCAAGACGAAGGAAGTACCTGAAGAGCAGCCGATACCTACACCACCAAAGTCAACAACGGAGCTTCCAGCCGAAAAGACGACTCAAACACCATCTGTTCCATCAAAGAATCCAGTCGTTGTGGGGGATTCTTCAGATGATGATGACAATATCGTTCTCTCCACTCTCGGACAAAAATCAACAGGAAGATTTCGCTCTCCTGTGAAAGCAAAATATGTTCCTCCTCCCTCGTTGAAGTTGGATGAAAAGACGAAAGAAGTATCTTCTCAGGGGGAAGATAAGGCGAAAGAAGCATCTTCTAAGGGGGATGATAAGTCGAGAACATCCAAGAAAAGGAAGGATAGATCTTCCTCAGACGAAAATCCTCCAAAAACCCTCCATCCACAAGAACCCATCTCAGCAGAGCGACTTTCTCAATGTTCGACACAAGAACCTGCTGTTATGGAAACAGAGGTCAATCACTTAAGTCTCCCACAAGAACCTGGCTTGCCAGAAGAGACGAGAGAAGTGATGCCAACCCGATTGTTGCTGATGTTCTTCCCACAGAAAGTTCCCTCCCACAAGAACCTACCTTTGCAGAGCAGGTACCTAATATTCTGACATAAGAACCTGCATCGGTAGTTGAGGACGAAAATTTGAGAGCTGCAAAAGCTGCTGACCCGAAAGCAATTATGACAGTACCATAAGCTGCACCAATCCCTCCATCAAGAGATCAGCTACTTCGGGAATCTATGGAGAATAATTTCAATAGGGTCATGCAATGGCAAAAGTGGCGCACATCTCCATTAGATACTCTTCTTGAAACATCTGAAGCAATGAAGGATGAGGAATCATTTGCCTAAGAGTGGATCGGCACGAAAGATGTATATGAAGCACTGCGTCTTGAAACGATTAGACGAGTGTACTCCTACAAAGTGACCAATCGCACTCTCGGGAAAGATAAGGCACCCATTTGCATAGAGCTTAACAAGCCACCTTTGGATCCAGCCTTCGTTGAAGAGATGAAGGAACTTCGTTATGCACTTCTCCTATCCAAGATTAAGACAGAATTGGAAAGAACTCATCAAAATGATCCGGGATGCAATGCCAGCGAATCGAAAGATGATGAAGGACGGGAAATTGATCCAGAAGATGAACAGAATCAGGAAGAAGATGCTGATGATGAAAATGATAATGAGGACGATGATGAAGATGATGATAATGATGATGATGACAACAATAAGGGTAACCCGAACTATGACAGTGAATCTCCTCTCTTAGTTACTGATGATCCTTTACTCGAAATAACCTCATCTCAAAATTCATCTTCCAAAAGTGATGGCAAAAGGGAAGCATCACTTAGGCCTGAGAACTCATCAGCAAGTGGAATGGTTGAAGCCTCCCCTCGAATTGGAATTCCTCATGCTGAAGAAATTTCAAATGCACCTATTGAAGACTTATCTCGTGCTATCGTCCCCCATGTTGATCACATGGACGAATCACCAATCAAGCGAGAAGATGCTACAATTCGTGAGGGAAAAATGGATGCCTCACCTATTCTTATCAGCTCAGCCAGTGGTGGCAAAAAGGATGCACCACCTCGAGAGGAACCAATGGACACTTCACCCACCAACATTGAAGCCGATTCTCCACCTATGTCTCCACGTCGTATCATGCACATGATGATGGGCACAGTTCACACATCCGAACTTATTCACCAAGAATACATGTCCCTTCGCAACAAGAATTCTCAAACCTTGGAAGAATTATCCAAGAAGGTAGACCAACTTATGACTGCTCAAGCTCAATCTCATCCTCCACCTCAAGCTCAACCTCAACCACAACCGTCAGCTCAACCGAAAAGATCTTATAAAGCTCAGCTGGCGAAAGAACTTCATGAGCTTCAAACTGCTGTGAACAAGGTGGCACGTCAACAGCATGAAATCAAGCACTCTCACTACAGTCTCAACTCTCAAGGAGAGAGTTGATTTAGCATGCACGAAGATTGAGACTGCGCACGATAACTCATATCAAATGGGACAATATTCGCTCCAAATCCTTGGCTATGTGCAAGGCATCCTGATTGCTATTAGCAATTTGTCTCCCCCAGCTCCTACTACGTGTGCTGATGATGCCAAAAAGGGGGAAAAGAGGAATCCTGATGATCATCATAGGGATACACAAAGAGACTCTGATAGAAGAAGCATAAAGTCTCTGCCTCCACCTCTAGCTTCCAAGTCTCGTGATCACCAACCTTCACAATCAAGACATCACTCGTCTCGTGATCATCAACCGTCACAATCCCGACATTACTCTATCAAGCCTCGCCAATCTTTCGGTTCTGAATCTAAATACATATTCAGTGGACTTTGTAAGAGGGAAAGGAAGAACCTCAGGCAAAAGCTTATGAGAGATAAAACTGTAACAATGGACGGTGTGGGAAATTTTGTTGATTTTAAGCCTTATGAAGAAGGAAGCGAAAAACGTTTCGAAGGATGCAATGTTCCTGTCTGGATGAAGACAAAAGATAACCATACAAGGCAATACCACATAAGCTCTCAAAACGAAAGGATCAAGAGAACTATCAGAGAGTTATGGGACAAGCATGAAAAGGAAGCAATAGAAAGAGAGCGCGAACTTCGGGAAAGAGAACGAGTAAAGGAGCTAATCAAAGATGTCACGAAAGTGACCAAGAAATCTGAACCAGGAGTCATATACAATGCAGCTTTTAAAATTCATGCCGAATCTAGAAAAAGCTACACAGAAGGAATGCAATCTTTCGAGCTCATCTCTTGGTGGAAATTAGGCATTGTAGAAGGAGAAAACATTCTCGAGGCTTACAACAACTATATAAGCCTCAACATCAATGAAAAATATGAAGATCTAGTCAAGACGAACCCAATCAAGGTTTTCAGAGATCGTATCAATGAAGATATTGATTGTGACAGAATGCTCAGGGAGCAAAGAGAAAGAGATAACCGTGAACTAAAGGAGGCCAAGCTGCAGAAGGCGAAACTGTTAGAAATGTAAAATACTTTACATTCTGCTCCCCTTAAACTTTTTGTAAGTGCTTTATCTATATATGAATTCTTCGTTGTTACATCTTTCGTGTCTTTTGTCTAAGTTACTTGTCAGTGTCTTGTCAATAATTTGTATTGTCTTTAGAAATGACTTGTAAACTCTCGATAATCGCTGTTTTGAAATAAAGAATCCTTTATGGGATATTTACCAGCCTTATGAGAAGAGTATAGGTTTTGGCATCATCAAAAAGGGGGAAATTGTTAGGAACTCTTGTATTAGGATTTTGATGATACCAATGTAACTTAGAATGTAGACCCCTAACTTTCGTTATTTCCATCGCTGCTTTTGTTCTAGACAAAAGTTGCCATAACTCATCCTGTAATTCGTGTTAAGTTAGACAAACACACGAAAAACGAGTTATGTTTATTAGTTAGGTCTGCCAAAGCGAAAAGAGACAAAGAGCACAAAATCAAAGGTTTCAACAACGAAAGATCAACTCAGGTTATCAACCCTCTCGACAAGACAGTAACCTTTATGAAGATTTATCAAGACACTCATTCTCTCCCATAACGAGAAGAATGTCTCAACTGTCTGAGTTGATTAACCATCATAGGGGCAAAAAGGACCTTAAAGTGTGGGACACATATACCTAGGAGCATTTAATGAAGCTGTACTACTCTTCAGAAGCTAAAAGACAAAAACCCTAAGGTTGTTCATGTCTACAACGGCTACATGGTACAAACTGCATTAATAGAGCATTTATTGCGCCAAGCTCTCCAGTTCTTACCCACTGGATAATAGGTTTGAAATTTCATCTCCCTCCAACGGATGAAAGTTTCTAAACCTATAAATACCCACCTTCATCAAGTTAGAAGGTGCTGGTTCTTTTCACTCGATCATTACTCTCAACCAAAAGCTCTTGTATAAGCTAACTCTCTTACCAAGCTTTTGCGAACCAGTTTTCAAGGCGTGAAGATTTCTTAAAGAAACTCATCAATCTTCATCTTCCACCTTGAAGAAGTCTTGCATCTTGTACGAAGCAGTCATCCCACTTCAGTCAAAACTTCACCGTGTTGGAGAAATCAGAAAATACTTTCTACCAACCTCAACTCTGAAGAAGACGTTGATAGAGGCAGAGTAAACTCGCAGAGTTGAAAAACCTACAGGAAGCTGTCCGGCTTAGTGATCAAGGAAGCTTTCGTGTGTATTTGTACTAACGAGTGATAGTGCAAACCTTCCATAAGTTGTGGAAGAAGAGTGGAGTAGGCAAAGTTGGCCGAACCACTATAAAAACTCTCGTCTCTCTATCTTTTTACTTTCGTGTTTTACTTTTTTGCATTGCATTATCATTCGTCCAAACCGAAATTTATCTTAAAACCTCAAACTGTGCAAAGCAACTAAAACCAACTTAACTTATCCGCTGCGCTACAACCCTGAAAGGTTGCTATCTGCCAAAAATTGAGAAGAGTCTATTCACCTCCCCCCCCCCCCCCCCTCTAGACTCTCGTTCTAACACTACCGGGACCAACAAAAAGTGCAGTTGCAATTCTCTAAAAATTGAAGAAAATTCACAAATCAAGGAAGAAATTCTTAAGAATCTAAATTTAAAAGAAGGGATTGAACTAAATCTACAGTTAATAGATACAAATGATTTTAAAAGAAAATTAAAAAACAATGACTTAAACCAATTAATAAAGGAATTAGAAAAAGAAGAAATTATAGGAGAAAATACTACTAAATTCTGGGAAAGAAATAAAACAATTTGTAAATTAGAAATTATCAACCCAGACATCACAATAAAATCACCAAATTTTATATATGGAAATTGGGAACAAGAAGAATTTAAAATGCATATTGAACAATTATTAAAATTAGGCATAATTAGAAAATCAAGTTCAAGACATAGAACTCCTGCTTTTATTGTCCAAAAAGAAGTAGAAAAGAAAGGAGGTCAATCTAGAATGGTATTTGATTATAGAAAACTTAATGACAATACTTATGAAGATGGGTATTGCATTCCAGATAAAGACACTCTAATTAACAAAATTCAAGGAAATAATTGGTTTTCAAATTTTGATTTAAAATCTGGTTTTTGGCAAGTCAAAATGCATCCAAATAGTATAGAATGGACTGCATTTTCATGCACATTAGGACATTTTGAATGGCTAGTAATGCCATTTGGATTGAAAAATGCACCACAAATTTTTCAAAGAATGACGGATGAAATTTTTAAAGATTGCTACAATTTTACTTGTATTTACATTGATGATATTTTAGTCTTTTCAAAAACAGAAAATGAACACAAAGCACACTTATACACTATTTTCACAATTTTTGAAAAACATGGATTAATAATATCCAAAAAGAGAATGGAAATAGGAAAAAATTATATTTCCTTCCTAGGAGCTGAAATTGGAGAGAGGAGTATTAAATTACAACCCCACATCTCTAGAAAAATGTTGGAATTTCCTGACAAATCAGAAGAATTAAAACAATTACAATCCTTTTTAGGATTAGTAAATTATGTAAGACCTTACTTCCAAAATTTAGCAAAATTAACTACTCCATTATACAATAAAGCTCAAAGTAAAGGAGTAAGAAAGTTTAATGACTAAGACATTAAAATTATCCAACAAATTAAGGAAAAGATTAAATTACTTGAACCCCTTGCATTACCTCTTGAATCAGACTATTTGATAATAGAAACTGATGGTAGTGAAATGGGTTGGGGAGGAATTTTGATTAAAAAACCAAATGAATTTGCTTTAAAATCTACAGAGAGAATTTGTAGATATACATCTGGAGTATTCAAAGAAAAAGGATATTTAACATCCTTGGACTTTGAATTACTTGCAATAATTTATGTACTTGAGAAATTCGCACTGTTTATTTTATCAAAAAGGCAAATTACTATCAGAACAGATTGCGAATCAAGTGTTAAATTTGCAGATACTAAAAATGAAAGAAAATTAACTTCTAATAGATGGCTAAAATTTAGAGAATTTGTCCTTAATAGAGGATTTAAAATTAAATGGGAACATATTAAAGGAAAAGATAATAAGATTTCAGATTTATTATCAAGAAAATTATTGTGCGACTAATCTGTCTTTGCTAAGTTGTGCAGAAAATTTGAGACACGTAGAACAAACTTTTAGACTCTCAGCAGTAAATTCCAGACTCTGAACATGGAGAAAATTTTCACATTTGACAAGACGGAATTAAAGACATTTCCGGAGAAAAATCAATTTAAGACACCTCTCAGAAGCAGGCTTCATGACAAGGAGACATGTCTTCTAGATAATATTTGGAACTTGGCTACTGAAAGGCAAGCTAACCCTAAAAAGGTTGCTATTCTCAATGCCTTAGCAGAATATTTCCATTCTGGAAAACAATTTAAGAAAAAACCATTTACCTGTTATGTTTTATACAACGGCCCTAAGGCTGGAGTATATCTAAAATCGGAAGAAATGGTACATTTAATTGAAGAAATTAAATTATTTCCTAAATTCGGAATACTCCTTTTCATGGGATTTTTCGATATTCAGGAAGCAATTAACTCTGTTATTGAGAACTACAGAGAAAAATCTTATATTTCTCTAAAAGTTCTTAAATATCAGAAATATTTGAAACATTTGGAGAATTTTGAGGATCCAGAATTCCTCAAAGAAATTTCAGACCCCGAAATTGGCACATCATCTTCTTATCAGAAGAATGAAAAATTACAGACTCCTCCTGAGACGGGAAAATTTCTACCGTTCTCTACACCTACTTTTGCAGACACCCTTAGAGAACAATTAACTTCTACTCCAAAACAGAAAAATTTACTTATTTTGGAAAAACCAAAAATTCAACCAATTTCTCCACCAAAGCAGCCTTTTCTTTCTGCTGAAGAAGTAAATTTAAAGACATTCATCCTTCTTCAAGACTGCTTAGCCCAAATTACCAATAACCAAGTTCTATCCAAATG